ACATTGGGAAACTATTATGTTCATTTTGGTCAATTTCAAAGGTATCCAGAGGAACAAAGATGTCAGGTTGAGAATATTTTAGATTTTCAGCACCGATGAATCCATTTAAACTGAGCATGTTTGATAACATTATTACTTTAAAAAATATAGGCTCAACACAGATAATTTATATTATAAAGTATTATTTTATTTATTTAAACTTTTTAAATAATTATCATGAATTATTTTAATTGTTTTTCTGGGAAAGTTCCCCACTTTCTGTCTTTTTGTTCAGAAATGTTTCATTGTCAGAGAAGGAGGTTTTAAAATGATCCTTTTTGCTAAGGTCAAAAATTATCAGGTCCTACATATTGGAAATTTGCCATTATAGCCAATAATGTATCATGACTATTTATTAAAAGTTGTCAGAATGTACTGAAGCATAAGAGAAATGAAATAAGGAATTGAAGAGTCTGGTACCTGAACATCACTAGAAGGCTATTTTTAGCATCCATATGGCACACTTTCTTAGACATATTGTAATTTTCATAATGTTAGTTTTGAATTATATTAAAAATTGCAATTAACACAATGTACTCAAATATATTATAATTATAATAATTATAATTGCATTATGATCTGCACAGTGTAGTTTTATTTTATACATGGTTTCTTTTGGACAAAAGTTATTTAACATATTAATTATGCTTTGAAAGACTTATTGGCTTTTGTATATATTCAAGCTGAGTTATATTTCAAAAATAACACTAACACAAGGTAAATTGTTACTGTATACAAACAGAATTTTCCCACTGGGAATACTGATTAGAAAACTGTCTGATCTATTCTAATTAACACATTTGATTTCCTACGTTTTTTCTATTGTTTTGTGAGTTTTTCTTTCCTCTTTTTTCATTTATGCATATGGAGTCAACCAATCTCTATCCTTCAACAAAGAAATTCTGGAGAATTCAAAAGATTTATCATAATATGCTGCATGAACTCAGTTTATGTGGTTAGATTACAGTTAATGATATCACACAAACCAAGAAAATTGGGTTCATTCCATGTGCTATGATCACCATGTATCCATGCTCAACATGTAAACAACAAGGGGGAAAGAAATAAAGGAAACAATTGGTCCTCTTAACAGAGATGACAAGAATGTGACAGCACAGCTTGCTTAATTCATTCTTCGCATCTATTTTTACGCAAAAGAAAAAAAAATAGTCCTACCTATCAAAAGCAATAATGTAGAACTGTATTTCTTCTAGGGCCAGATCAGCACTGTAGTTAGCCTCCGCGGGCCAGCGAGGGGGGAACAGCAGGAGGGGTGGGATGGATGCCTTCTGAAGCACCTTGCTGCCCAAAATGGGGTGTGGGGGTCCACACGCAGGCCCATCCCTGTGTCTCGTTTTCACCCTCCACCCTCCATGGCCTCCTGCAGCACTCTGCTGGCCACTTTTGGCCCATTTTGGGGGGCATTTTTATCCCATTTTCAAGCCCTATTTTAGGCCGTTTTGGGGCTATTTTCACACCCATTTTCGGCCCATTTTTCAGCCAGCAGAGTGATACAGGAGGCCATGGAGAATGAAAACAAGGTGCAGGGAGTCCACATGCAGCCCATTTTAGGCACTAGAGGCACTGCAGCCATTCCTTTGATATTTCCAGACCAGCCCTATGGGACAGATTTAAGCACCCCACAGGCCAGATCTAGCCCACTGGCCTTGAGTTTAACAGTTTGCTTTAGAATATGTAATAGGTATACATGTCAAAAAAGGTAAGGATATGGTAAAATAACACCTATACACTCTAGAATGCATGGCACTGTTGTCAGAAGCACCAAGGCACTTCCGGGATGAAAGGATTAGCTGTTTACATCACTATTGCCCTGAGGACACCCAGTTGGTCATGTCTGGTCCCACAGCAACACTCAGATTCCAAACGCAGGCTTGCTAATCTCCAACCCAATGTCCTAACTGTACAAGTCACCAATTTAGTCTAGATGAATTTGAATTGCTAGTACCAAATGGATTACATGCCAAGTTTCTGAAGGAGCTGGCAGATGTGATCTCAGAGCCACTGAGCCAGGAGTGGGCTGCTGGGGGTTTGCAGGCATTTAAGAGAACCCCTAGCTAAGATTCTGAACAGTTTGGACAACCCCCAAATGCCACTCCTGGCTGGAGCCGCCCACCCCACCCCTCCCAGGCAGCCCATTTTGGATGCAGAGCACACACAGAGGCTTCAGGACGACAAAAAATGGGCCTCCCAGAAGTTTGGGAAGGCTGGAAACTGGCCTGTTTCTAGCTTCCAGAGAGCCTGTGGAGCCCGGGGAGGCCATTTTCACCCTCCCAGAGGCTCAGGAAAGCCTCCGGTACACAGGAGGAGGCAAAAACGCCACCTGCCGTGGTGCAGGAGGCTGACTAGGCCACGCCCACCAGGCCATGCTGACCCAGCAACCAGGCAGAGAACCTATTGCTAACATTTTTGAAGCCCACCCCTGCACTGAGCATAATCTTTTAAACCTCCTGAACTACTAGCAGACTGGAAACGAACAGATGTAGTTCCAATCTTCAAAAAAAAAAAAAAAAAGGTGGGGTGGGGAAGGAATCCAGGAAATTACTGACTGATCAGCCTGACATCAATATCTGGGAATCTTGGAAAAGAAAATCAAACAGCAGATTTGCAAGCACCTGGAAAAGAGTAAAACTATTTCTAGAAGCCAACATGGATGTGTTAAAAACAAATGATGTGAGGAAAAATTTATTGCCTTCTTTGACAAACTGACTAAATTTGTGGATCAGGAAACTACTATGGACATAGTTTACTTCTGTGCAGTGAAGACAAGTTAAAGCCCTTTATTGGATAGCTTCAGAATTTAAATTCTGGGCTTTTTCTTCCAATCTTTCTCAAGTAAGGCTTGCCGTCACACAGATTTCTTTATATAACCATTTGCTATAAACTGGGGATTTCTGGATATAAGGATAAAAAATCTTGCCAGATTCAGTCCTTAACACCTTTTGTGGAATCAGGACCCATCTATTTCCTTTACAAATATTGAAAGAATATTTCAATACTCTTTCAATAAATACTTAGGTGATAGGCAGAAATATAAAGCTCTAAAAACCAGGAAAAATGTTTCTTTCTACTTAGATGTCAGCAGTACAATCTCTTTCATAAGCCACTGATGTCCTGCTAAATCCTTGTTTTATTGTCTGCGAGCAATTTTTGCTTCTTGTAGATCACACGTTCCCGCAGTTAAGGTGCAGTAGAGTGGGATAGAGTGAATGCATATATAGAAGCCCCTTGGGTTCATTCAAAACTTCTGGAGACAGAGATGGCTTGGGATAAAAAAGGTATTCAACAACTGTTACATTAAATTCAGTTTAGCTTGGAAAGGAGGAGGGAAGGATATTGTATGTTTTTATGTGTTTGATTTTGAGAGACTATATCTGTGTATTTGTATGTATCTTCATGTATGAGATGTCCAAATGACATAGGCATCTCAACCTGAGTTTTTTTAAAAAGCATAACCATAAACAGAGAGGTTTTAAATAGTAATATAGCAATAAAGAATAAACTGAAGCAAATCCATAAAGATTATATTGTTACTGCAAAAAAAGGGAAGTGGCTGGGTAATGTAGACTAAAATTCATTTATAAGGACAAAGACATGAAAACCAAGATAACAGTTCCAATGTTGTAAAACTGATTATAGAAAATCATGTATTACTGATAGAAAGCAAATCAAATGAGATTCCAGTAGGATAGCATTCTTTTGTATTTATTTCATTAAACTTGAAAATTGCTTTCTTCACCAAAGACAACAATTCATTCAATTTAATTTGAGAATGGAATTCCAATTAGAGAGTTATTAAACAATGTGGTATTAAAAAACTTACAATTCGGAAAACCTCATAGGATTCTACACAATGCCCTATATCGAAGGATCCAATTTCACTCTTGTCAAGTGACAGTCCCATAATCACAGTGTTAATATTAGGAAAAGCCCTGTCCTAAATACTCAACAACTTAGTTTCTTAAGATAATGATCCTTCAATCATCCTCATAACATGAACAAAGAGATGGTTCTCTATATGCCCCAAATCATTTAGTAAGTAAAAAATGCAACTGAATTAAGACTGAAAAACAGTGCAATATACACCATTGTAATCTTATTATAAAAACCAACCTGGTCACACTTTAGAAAAAAGTACAATTTCCAAACATGGATGAGGAACAAACATAAGCATAGCATAGCACAATAATCTAAAAAAAGATTTTGAAACTATCAACTCTTTTTACTTGAACTGTTGGAGCTGTGTATTTCTATATATTTCAGGAACCATGCCTGAAATATTCAAGAACACCCATGTATACATTAAATGTTTACACTAAGTAATATAGTATCTTGAATCTTAGTTACTATGGGTTTTAATTTGGGGAATTTTAAAATAATTGCATGCATTCAAGCTTTTTTAGGAAATCAAGCATAGAAGTAGTAAGGGTGACATGTTAAATAGGTAGCAAGGAGATGCTGGTAATTTTTTCCTCAATATTTGGGATTACACAAGGAAAAAAATGTAAATGATGTTTTGTTGATGCCAAAAAATGTACCAGTTACTGCCTTATATCCATATCTAGTAATGGATCTAGACAGAGGAAGTCCAGGGAGAAAAAAACCAAAGTCAAACAGTGCTATGGGCAAAGAGTTTGAGAAACACTGGACTGAACCTACAAAAGTATAAATTTATATTTGTCCAATGAAAACTATAGTTACTTATATTAAGACAATATTAAACAAGCAGACTTAAAGGCTTAGATTATCTTTAGTCCCATCCATAATACATTTTATGTACACCATGGAAAAAACAATTTCTTAATTGTTGTTTAAGATTATACTTGTTAGAAATATGTACTTATAAGAAGGATTTTGTTTTTGTTTTATTTATTTTTTCTTAAATGAATATGTGTAGCCATTAAAGCTGAAGGCAAAATGAAGGATAAAAGATCCGTACTTACTATATGAAGTTGCAAAAAATCAGTAAGGCCAGGGGCGCTGTCAATCCGTACCAAGATGCCATCTTTTACTGTTGTGCTGAACCCAACAGCTAGGCGGTCTGTCCTTGTACTGGGTCTGTCATTTGCTGGCCAAGTATACAGGATGAGGCCTCCACTTTTCCCAAAGATATATGTGGCCCCAGCTGCAACACACACATAAAAAACATATAGAGGTAACTTAGCCAGTTATATTAACATTTCAACTGCATCCAATAGTACTAGATCTAAGTGCAAGGTTCCATTTGAGAAAGTTATGAAAGCTTTAAGACTTTGTATTAAAGTCTGAATTAAAGATGTGAACAAAATGAATTAATAACAAAGTGGATGCAAAGTATGAGCATTGGTAGACTCAACTACATAATAGCACAGGGCTGATAACACATTATTTCTAAAAGGTTTTATCCACTGACAAACCATCAAGTTAAGGCTTTTTTTTTGCCTAAAAACTCTTTTCATGTTCCCTGGCTTACTCTTACATAAATACCATATTTATGTAAGAGTAAGCCAAGCCTCCCCCCTTATAATTACTATGAAATTTATGGGTGTAGGATCATCATCTTACATTGAGAAGAACAGCAGAGAATAATATTAGTCTGTTAAAAATATGGGGAGAGGTAAAAAATGCAAATGGGTATAGATAGCCATAAAAGCACTTCCCTTTAAGATTAGCTACTGCTTGGGAGTAAACAGTTAACTTTACAAAAGGTTATTAATAATAAGGTTCAATAACCTTTGAAGGTTATTATTAACTGGCTATTTTACAACCAGTTGATTTTAATCAGAAGCTACTAATAGAATTAATGACATTCTTTATCTTAGCTCTGCCTTTTTTTAAAAGTGTGGCTTCTGGATATATATGCCATTAACACACAAAAGCATTACACACAATCATTATGGGAGGAGAAAAAAAATATTTCAGTAGAACGTTGGGTGGACAACAATATAAAGTTGGTATTGTATTATTTCTTTTATCAAGAATAGAATTAGAATACTTTTATTGGCCAAGTATGATTGGACACACAAGGAATTTATCTTGGTGTAAATACTCTCAGTATACATAAAGAAAAGATACATTCGTTAAGAATCAAGAATCATAATGTACAACACTTAATGATAGTCATAGGGTACAATCAACAATCAAATCATACTAGGAAACAGTCAATATAAATCGTAAGGATACAAGCGACAAAGTTACAGTCCTACAATCACAAGTGGGAGGGGATGGGTGATAAGGAGTGATGAGAAGATTAACAGTAATAGTAGTGCAGACTTTGTAAATAGTTGGACAGTGTTGAGGAAATTATTTGTTTAGCAGAGTGATGGCTTGCGGGAAAAATGTGTCTAGTTGTTCTGGTGTGCAGTGCTCTATAGAGTCGTTTTGAGGGAAGGAGTTGAAACAGTTTATGTCTGGGATGTGAGGGATCTGTAAATATTTTCACAGCCCTCTTTTTGACTGGTGCAGTATACAGGTCCTTGATTGAAGGCAGGCGGGTAGTAATTGTTTTTTCTTCAGTCCTAATTATTCTCTGAAGTCTGTGTCTGTCCTGTTTGCAGAACCAAACCAGAGGTGCAGATGATAGACTCAATAATTCCTCTGTTCACAATTTCTTCAAAATAATTGTTTTAAATTCAGGATCATCTTCTAATCAAGTACATATATTTCATTAATTTATCTTTTCTTCATGAAGCATAACTTGTGGACAAGAAAAATGGAAAACAAGTTTTTCACTGGGGAACAGAAAGGGTATTTATCAAACCCATCAGATTTCTGATCAGCAGTTTCCTCTAAAAGTAAATATAAGATCTTGGGAAGAACATTTGACGCTGAAAGAAATATACATCATGATAATCTTTTAGAATACATTCAATATTTCCCAAGAATTGATAAAATGAATATTCATGTTTTGCCTGGGAATCCCAGTGAGTTTACATAGGATTGTCAAGAGAAACACAATCAAATAAATGACAACTTTGAAAGAAAGATATATCACATGAAATAGGTTTTATTTTTCACATTCTGTTTAAGTCTGTTTCAGGTGCCAGTTGCCAAATAAAGAAAAATAGCATCTGCAATAAAGACAGCCAGCAGGCAGGACCAAGTGCCTTCTATTTCAATATTGTTTTACTTGCAAAACAAAGAACATCCACAGGATAGTTAAATACCTAAACCGCAGCATCTGTGAGAACCAGTAAGTTACATACAGAGATTAGAGTATGATTATGCACTCTGTGTGTTTCAGAAGTACCATGCCTTCCAATGATTGGTATGGATAACTTAATTTTCTAAAAGACTGTAAAAGCTAGAATGGCTCATTAACAGAATAGCACCATGGAACCATTCTGGAAATAAGCAAATACTTTCTTTTTTAAAAGAGTAGAACTTTAAAATTTGAAAAGCTACAGAATCCTATCTATCTATCTATCTGTCTATCTATCGATCTATCTATCTATCTATCTATCTATCTATCTATCTATCTATCTATCTATCTATTTATTTATTATTTATTTATTTTGTCAAAAGCTATACAATAGAAATAAGAATAAACGTAAGTTTAAATATAAGAAATAGGAACTGATAATCGGGGACAATAGGACAGGGATGGTAGGCACAATTGTGTGCTTATGCACGCCCCTTACGGACCTCTTAGGAATGGGATTAGGTTAGTTTGAAGGTAAAGGAGTGGGGGTTTGAGCAGGTGACAACAGGATCAGGTAGTGAGTTCTTCTGCCCCGTGCAAGAATCCAGTTCAAAGCAACCTGAGAGATGGCTGATCAGACACGTTTATTTATTTCATGTATTTGCCAAATGTATACCCCACTTTACCAAGAGAAGCTTACAATGACAAATATAGCATCCCTTCTCTAATTTTTCCTCAAAGAGCAATCATAAGAAACCTGTAAATAAGATGGGCTGAGAGTGACTGGCTCAAAATTACCGAATAAGCTTCCATAGCTGAAGATGCATGTGTACTTGCGTCTCACAGTCCAACACTTTATCCATTGGATCTCTCAGGAGTATCCATGGAATGGAGTGTCAAAATGTGCATCATATCCATCGCACACATGTTAAAAGGGCCAAAGGTTTAATTGGCCAAATGTTTGATTTTGACCCTGTTTATTCACCCTCCATGAACAACCCAGAGTCTCTGACTGTATCTGTTAATATTGGTTCATGGTTTTGCCAATAGACTTCTGCTTTTTCTAAGACACGATTTTCAGAATTCTTACTTAAAACAGCTTGCACACAGAAAAAAAGAACATATATTGAAAAGGACTGATCTTGGCAAATATCTAAGATTCAAATGCTTATGATGTTAAAGATTGGGGATGCAGAGGATTTCATAGGAAGCAATGGTGGACTAATGGTGGACTCCATAGAGAGCAGAGCCAGTAATGGTGACAGAACACGGAACCAATAAATGAATCAGAATTCCCGTCCAGATAAGGAGAGGACCTGGGACAGTTCACAGTGCTCCATGCAGTGACTCCCTGAAAGGAAACCATAAGTCTTTGGCAGATTTTTATTGCTCTGGGTGTTAAGGGAAAGCAATCTCTGTCCAAGCAACAGTTTAGGAACTTTAGAAGGATACCAGGTTTGCATAATTAATTATTTTGGGAAATTGCTTTTTGGATATTAAGAACCTTCAGAAAGGTAAGTTTTATTACACAATTTGAATTTCTTTCAATCCTTGGTGAAATAGGTTTTATGCATTTAAGGACTTAACCTTATTTTGGAATAAGCTGTCAAAAAGTGAACATTGATTTTGGAAAATTATAAATGGATTAAGTGGTCAATGGATTTGAAATAAGATTTTGAATGTAATTATAAGAATATTTTCTGTGGGTTGTTTGAAATCCTATTTTAAAAATATAAAGATTTTAAGTGTGGAAAAATGTTCATTACAAAATATATATATTTACAAATGAGACCAGCTGATGTCTTATTAATTAAAAGGCATATACGAATAAAAAAACACAAGAGTAACTTGGATGATTTTCTTATCTTGGATTTACAAGAGACATGTTAAATTTATGAAGGAGTTTCTGAGAAGTGACAAAGAGAAAATGAAAAGAAATAAATTGTCAATACTATTCAAAGTTCAACTTTCTTAACAACAAAAGGAAAGTTATATAGTTGGTCCAACAAGGTTGTTAAAATTTGTTTATAAAGAAGAGATGAGATATGGGGTATGAGATTTCTTTCTTTCTTTCTTTCTTTCTTTCTTTCTTTCTTTCTTTCTTTCTTTCTTTCTTTCTTTCTTTTTCTCTGCACTTTCTATTTTTAAATGTTTATATTTGTATTACTTTGTATTAGTTTTTTATTTTTATATTTTTTTAAAAAATTGACATAGCCAATTCTTTCCTGGGAAGTTCTCCATCTGAGATGTTCACAGCAAAGCCCGCTTATATAGTGATCTCTCTGTGAAAGCCTTCTTTCATATCCCTGTGTCATGTATAATGATATAACTGTGCATGCTCAGATACAGCAAACATGTTCCTTGCCTGCTGTCAAAACATGGACCAGTCAGCAGGAATTGCAACATTATCCCAAGTCAATACTGTTGCTGTTATTATTTATATTATTAATAATTATATTTGAGTAGTTTGCAATAATGAATTAAACTGGTGTTTTTTCCATATGCAGACAATTATAACAGCTCAAGTTGACTGAATAAACTTTTAATGACTTTGCTCTTTGAATTATATTTATTATTATTCTATAATATGATGCATTGCACAATTTTAATTGCCTATAGTAGCATCAGAGGATTCTGCTAGCAATGTAGTTCATCTTTTTATAAAACTAATCTTTTTTTTTCTTGTGTGACCTTTCATATATTAGTTCATTTTTCACTAGTATCATAGAACTGGATTGTTTAACTTATAATTGACATGAAAAATGTCAGCCCTATGTCACATTCTTCCATTTCATACCATAAATTTTATTCAACCTCTTATCATTTTGTGCATTCACATACATGCACAGGGCTGGCAGAGTCCAAGAAATAAGAGAAAATGAAATTAACATTTTAATGCAGGAATGTAAGCTTCACCTTTGAAAATAATTTTTATCCCCTCCCTCTGATGAACACACTTCTTCCAGGGAGCTACTTGGCTGCACACACTGCATGTCAAGAGAATG